GCATTTATTAAAAAGTGAAGATAAGTTGAAAATCAATGATCTTAGTATCCAACCCAGTAAGTCAGATAAATAGTGAATTAAACTCAAAGAAAGTAGTAGAAAGATAACAATAAAGTTATAATGGTTAATTTTATGTGTCAACTTGACTGGACCTTCAGGTGACCAAATATTTGGTCAAACATCATTCTAAAGGTTTAGGTGAGGATGTTTTGGTTGAGATGAATATTTAAATCTGTAGACTGAGTAAAGCAGATTGCCATTCCTAATGCGGGTGGGTCTCATCAATCAGCTGAAGGCCTGAATAGAATAAAAAGGCTAACCCTCTTTGAAGTAAGAGAGAATTCTTCCTGCCAGACTGCTTTTGAACTGAAACATCAGCTTTTTTCTGCCTTTGGACTCTAACTGAAACATCGGTTCTTCCTGGTTCTTGAGCCTGCTGACCTTCAGACTGGAACTATACCATTGGTTCTCCTGGTTCTCAGGTCTTCAGACTCAGACTGGAACACCATCAGCTCTCCTGGATCTCCTGCTTGCCAACTCACCCTGCAGATCTTGGAACTTGTCAGCCTTCATAATCACGTGAGCCAATTCCTCATAATAAATATGTTTCTCTATACATAGAAAAACATCTATTGGTTCTAGTTTTTCAGAGAACCCTAATTCAAAACATGAGAGCAGAAATTAAAAGAATAGAAAACAAAAAATTTAGTACATTAGCAAAAGCAATTCTTTGAAAATACTAACAAAATTGATGTATCTCTGGCAAATCTGATCAAGAATGAAAGAGAAGGCACAAAAAAATCACAATCAAGTTAAGCTCCCCCTAGGAGTACAGTTTAACTTTTCAGAGTCAGTCAATGCAATTCACAGAAATAAGGAGAAAAATATATGGTAATAAAAATAGATAATAAGAAGCATTTAATAAAATTTACCTTCTCTTCATTATAAAAATCTCTTGGTACACTAGGAAAAGAAAGGAATTTCATTAATATGAACTTTGTTAATTTTCCCAAAGCTATGAAAACGTCTTCCTTAATGATGCATTAATATGAGTTTTCCTCCTGAAATGAGAAATGAGACAAAGATGGCTATGATGTATCTCTTTATTTTAACATTGTACAGCTATTCACAATATTGATCATTAGATGAGAAGGAATTGGAACTCATAGACATTTAGTGAAAATGAAAACATGCAGTGGTTGGTATAACCACTTTGGAAAACTGCTTGGCAGTATCAAAGTTAAACATACTAATATCCTATGGATCAATATACATTTAACAGAAATGCATATAGGTATTTACCAAAAGATATGTACAAGGTTGTTCATGGTAGTATTATTACATCAACTGTAAAATGAATAAATTAATTTGTGGTAGTGCCATAGCCAAACAATGAAATGCTATTTTAATAATGAAATTAAATTAATTAATAATACAAATATAATAGAAATAGAAGCAAGAAAGAGAGCAATATGTATTGCATAATTCTACCTGTCTAATTCAAAACAGGTAACAGTAGCCTACAGTGGTAGAAGTCAGGATAGTGGTTATTTTTAGAGAGGAGAGTGGGAATATTAACTAGGTAAGAGTATGAAATAGGCTTCTGAATGGCTTGTGTTTTTTTTCTTGTATTACTTGTCCTTCTATTGTATTTTTTAATGTGGATTGTAATTTCATGGGTATGTTTACTTCATCAGAATTCATTAAATATACATCTATAATCTCTGTACATTATATATATATTTCAACAAAAATATTTATCTTAAAATTAAACACCTATTCCTAATAAAAGAAATTTATAACATATAAATCAATGTATACTTCTTTAAATCTCTCTCTCTCTCTCTTTCTATGCCCTCACCCTCCCTCCCCAGAATTCAGGATCTTATTTAATGGGGAAATACTAGAGGCATAGCCACTAAAGTCAGGAAGAAGGCAAGGGTGCTCAACCTCTCCACTATTTTTAATACGCTAGGATGATTTTTAGCAAAGCAGTTAGACAAATACAAACAATTAGAGACATAAAAATTGGAAAAAATAAAGTAGTCTCTATTTTAGATTATATGATAATATATCTGGAACGCCAAAGAGAATCAACCTTAAAATGAATACAAACAAAAGAATTTAGAAGGGTGTATACTAAAATCTAGTTATAGAAATGATACCCTATTAGAAAAGGTAATGAAGAGAAGAACCCACATAAAATAGCAGTAAGAAAGTTAAAATAACTAGGTATAAAATTAGCAAGAAAATTAGTATGTGGAAGACTTTCAAACTTCCTAATAATGTAAAAGTATTCTTGAATAAATAAAAGGTGGTATCCTTTGCTCTTGAATAAGGTGGCTCATTATTTTTTCTTCTACTTTCTGAGATTTACTTTTTTCTTTACTTTTCAAAGTAAAATGCTTATGTAATTAAAATATTTTCAGTTTTTCTTCTCTACATACATATTTACAAAACCATAAAACTTCCTCTTAAGATATATCTGTGTCTTATGGGGCATTTTTGTTCAGTTCTGTTTTATACATTTCATTATGATTTCTTCTTTGCTAATTAATTATCTACAGATATATTTTTTAGTTTTCAAAATATTTTTGTCATGACTTCTAATTTTATTTTACTGTGGTTAGAATATAATATCTACAATTTTGATTTTTTGGTATTTAACAATTAATTTGTTATTCACCAAATACCTATTTTTTTCAGACACTAGTGTAGGTTCTAATGATATCATGGTGAAGAAGTAACCCTACTTCTTTGCCTTTATGGTACTTACTTCTATTGTGATATACATTTTCTCTTTAAAAAATATGTATATATAATTTGTGGTTTGGGCATTGTTCCTGTTTTGGTGTGGTCAAATATTATTGCAGAGTGCTCTTATTTTTGTCTTGGTTCCTCATGGTCACAGAGTGGCCTTGTCTAATGTCTCCTGGATGTCAGGGGGGTTCCTTTTCTCTTTTCTAATTCTCTAACTGATTCTAGTATCATGTTTTCTAAATCATAATCTTGTATACTTATCTCAACAATTTATGGTGTTTTTGAGGTTCAGTCTGTTATATTTTGTGATTTACTGGGGCTATTGCTAGCAATGTTTTATAAGCAAAGCAACTTTTATCTTTCAGATATTTACTTTAAGAAAATGTAATAGTGTTTTAGGATAGGATATTATTTTATTAAATCTTGGGGCTCAAATTTAGAAAGATTATATTATTCATTTTATTGCTTAAGTTATATTTTCCAAACTTTTTAGGCTAATGAATCTCCTTGCCAATATATCCTTGCCAAGAGTCTCATACACTCAATAAAATTGGTTTTACTGGCTGGGCACGGTGGCTCATGCCTATACTCCCAGCACTTTGGGTGGCCAAGAGGGGCAGATCACCTGAGGTCAGGAGTTCAAAACCAGCCTGGCCAACATGGTGAAACCCCCATCTCTACTAAAAATACAAAAATTAGCCAGGTGTGGTGGCAGATGCCTGTAATCTCAGCTATTCAGGAGGCTGAGGCACAGAATCTCTTGAACCCAGGAGGTGGAGGTTGCAGTGAGCAAAGATCATGCCACTGCACTCCAGCCTGGGCAACAGAGTAAGACTCTGTCCTCTGTCTCAAAAAAAAAAAAAAAAAGAAGAAGAAGAAGAAGAAGAAGAAAGAAAAGAAATTGGTTTCATTGTTCATCATGTTCTCTTGTATGTAAAAAAAAAATCAATTTGAAGTTAAAACATATCTTAGTATAGTCACATCTATTTTATTTTAAGAAATATTACTCAGGTATGTATTTAGTTTTGACATTTTCACTTTGCAAGTCATATATGCCATTTACTTCAAGTTAACACGTAAAAAACTCCATTTTTTTGTCAAATTGATTTCAACATTTTTGTGTGTGTGATTTAATAACCAAGCATTTTTGTTATAGCTTCAAAAATAAATGTATATTGCTTTAATGAACTGATATTTGAAAACATTTGTGTTTTTACTGCGAAAACTACTAGCTGGCTTATTTTTGTTATTTTTTGTGTCTCATTGTAAGATGTTGAGATAAGTGATAAGGTCTCAGGATGCTCTGCAGGCTGAGGTTATCACCACCACTATATTTTCTTTCCTTACCAATGGTTTTTTGAAGTTATTAATACATCTTTATGCAGTGTATAAGAATTTTCATCAAAGGAATACTATTAATGTATTTCAAGAAAATCATCTTAAGGCAAATCTGTCAGAAATATATCATTATTTTAACATTGGCTATTTTTATCTTTCCTCTTATTTTTTTTTCCCTAACCAATGATAGGTTAAATTTACTGTCATTGGTAACAAAAAAATAGGAAGGATACAAATAATAATTGAGAATCATTTAACAGCAAAAGTTATCAGTATGGCTAGCACTGTTTAGCTTAATGACTGAGTCTTAAAGATGATCATATTATAATCATGATGTGTTCTCAAATTCTTCTGTTTTAAAGAAATAATATTTTATTAGTCATCTTATTTATTGATTTAAAATTAAATATTAACCTTTTTAATGATGTGAATCTCTAGAATACCTTTATAATCTTCAGAGGGTTCATAAAACATCAGTTTAAAATATTGAATTCAGTCAAAGAGAAAATATGATTTGATAGAAATTTGAAGCCACATTTCTCAAGTGCATAGGACTTAATCTTATCCCATTTCATGTTTTATTTCATCTTCATTTTCTATCTCATTTTTCTTTTCTTCCAATTTTCATACTTATTTTATATCATGTCATATATATTTATATTCTTCCTCACTTCCTCTTTGAAATTAGGTGGAGGTTATTGGTAAGTGTTCATATTGAAGCAGAGTCTGTGTGCCATTTTTTTTTTAATGTAGAAAACCTATATTCAAGTTCTAGAAAAATTGGTATTCTAAATAAGGTTGTGTTATGTGGTATGATTTTACTTTATTAACATTAAACTTTATTTGAAGCAAGTTAAAATTAATGTTAGAATTAAGAAAATGATTGTTCTAATGTTTTCCAGCTGCTAATAGGTTATGAAAATGGTACTGTAGTATTCTGGGACTTGAAATCTAAAAGAGCAGAACTGAGAGTTTATTATGATGAGGTAAGTGATTTCCACCGAAATGTTTGAAAGAGTATTGTGATGTTATGCCTGTTTACTGCTTTTAAGCTTTGTACTTTACCAATACGTTTAGCCTTGGGAAGTTGCCTGATTCTGACCCAATGCTTCACACTGTCTTTTGGTATTTGTGTAAGTTCCATCTCTGGTTTTTCTCTTAAGAGGAAATTCTGCCCTGACTGCCTATTTTGGGGCCCTCTTGTGGCATCTTATATACTTTGCATTTGTTAATAGGTCCTGGCTTGTACTCTTACACACTTGGGTGCCTGTCACCTGTAGTATAGCCCCAACTTTGTCTCAACTGCTTTTCCTTTCTCTAGGCTCCATGCTACGTTGTGCCTCATTGTCCTTAAGGTCTCTAAAGACACTATTCACACCTTCCTTAGAAAATTCCTTTTCAGAGGCAAAAGGTTCAAGTCAGTTTGAAAGGTCTTGTCTTCTAATACTTGTCTTCTTAGAATAAAGAAAAATTTTGTAAATAGTAATACTTAATAAGTGACCAGATCTTAATAAGTGACACTTATTAAATGACAAGATCTTGAAGTAAGTTTTATTGTACATAATTGAGACTTGAGTAAGCTTGCATTTAGGGGAAGCAACAAACTCCTATTCATCAAGGAATAATCTCCCAGTTGACACTTCAGTTGTTCAGATATTAATTCCAGGCCATTCATTATTTTTCCATTCAGGAGAGGCTAACAAGAAGATGGTAAAACTGGGAGCAACAGATTAAAAGGGAAATTACCTTTTGTGCCTGTGGAAACAAAGGTGATCATCTGTGCTATTAATTCAATTTGAAAATGGTGGGAGGAGGAAGAGATAGGAGGAAAATATAGGTCAAAAATTTACATCCAGTAAAACCTACTCTTATATAGGAAAAGTGCCAAATAATTTAAGGCAGCAATGAAATAATTGGAAAATGAAAACCACACACACGTTAATTTTAGAACACTTCCTCATTTTATCATTGGAGGGATAAAAAAAAGTCTCCAAATGAACCTGTAGTCACCGTAGAATACTTTACATGTTCTCTTCCATCCCCCTCATAGCAGTTAATTGTTTAAGTTTTGGTGCTTAAAGATATAAGCCTTCACCTATTTCATAAACTGTACAATTCATTTTCAGTGATTCTCATAGTGGTAAAAAAAGTATAGAAAGAAAATAAAATGGCAGCTGGGTAATTTTTTCATGATTGGTGAAAAATAATCTGATAAGTAATATCATTCAGTTATGTTTTTTATAATCAAATTCTTGAGCATCTTGAATCATAAGAAAAGAAGGTCCTAGTGAGCTAAGCTAGGATTTTCCTTTTGTTATACAAATCATAAAGATGCGGATGGATAGTGCTCCCTCTCCTCCCTCTCTCAACACTAGCAGCTAAATAAGAACATGAACACCATGGGAATATTTAGTCAGTTGGAATTAGAATAACCAGTTCAAAACGAAACCCAGAGGAAAATGCTGAATCATCTAGCTTTCCTATGGCCTTAAACAGTGTGGAAGAAACGTTTTGAGCCTTAAAAAGAGAGTAAAATTGCAGTGAAATTTTAAAATAAGGATTAGCAGCTGCCTAAGTGAGTTAGTACAGTACCACAATATATGTAATTTATGCCTAGAAGTTTTTGACATCTGATATATGTATATAAATCTATCATCTTTATCTACTGTAATGCATCATTATAGGCTCTATTGTTTTAATAGAGATAGTTAAATACTTCATTTCATTACCAAACTTTTCAGCCTCTCCTCAGCACTTTACCTCTCATATCTAGAAAACATGCTTAATACTTACCTGAAATGGTTTTTTATAAGTCACCAATGAGCTCTTCATTATTATACACAGTGACCTCTTCTTAGCCTTTACATTCCTCACTAAACCTGTGGCTTTACCTCAGTTTCTCCTCCTTAAAATAATTTATTCACTTGACTGTGTCTTTCCACTTCATTTATCATACCTCCTTTCTCCATAACTGATTTTTCCCTTACCTCTCCTTTACATTATTGATATTCTTCAGGATACTATGTCTTTACCCTCATTTCTTCTCTCCCCAATTTATACTTTCTAATGTTTATATTCTCTTTTATCATTTCAAATATTACCTTTATGCTAAAAAAAAAAGAACATCCATATATCTGTAGCCTTTACCTCCCTCCTGAACTGTAGATCTAAATATGTAACTATATATTAGATAAATCCAACGAAATATCCCATTGGCACTGAATTTGTATTTAAATATCTAAACCTCCTTCTGTGTTTTCTTCTGGTTTTTAAGTCTTGTTTAGTTAATTCAGCCTAGACCCCTCAAAGTAATATTTGTCTCTTCCATCAACATGTAGTATATGCAATCAGTTTCTGCAGTCTTTCTGATTCTGACTTTATATTCTCTTTTATTTCCTCTTTTCTCATTCCCACTTCCAATGTCCTATTTCAAGTTGTTATCTTTTGCCTGGATGACTATAAGAGCATTTTAACTAATCACAACCACTTTTCCTTTGATATCTTACCTCTTCAATATATCCTTCATTAACAAGATTATCATTTTAAAACAGATTATGGAATTCTCTACAACAGAACCTTTGAATAGCTCTCAATTGTCAACAATACAAAGTCCATATTGCTTGACATGAGATTTAAGGTCCTAGTGCTATCATTCCTCTTCAGTTAAATTTACAGCATCCTTCTACACATTCCCCACATTTCAGACATATTACTCACTATCTTCTATATATAACATTTATTTCTTATCTCTGAGCCTTTGTTCCTTCTAACTTCTCATCATGAACTGCCTTCTTTCCTCTTCTGTATATCAAAATTCTGTTAGGTCTTTAGCCCCTGTAAAACTATTTAGACAATTTAACTAGCCTCTTCATAAATAGCCATTGATGAATTGAGTTTTGTTTTGGAAATCCAAGATTATTTTCAGAAACAAATATACGAATTTTACTTTCACATTAACTGTAAATTTTTTCTTTCATTACGTCAATAATTCTTAAGTAATCTTTCACAAAGAAATCCCTCAGAGTTTGGCCTGAGGAAAATTTTTTAATTTCTTAAGAACTGCTGTATTTCCTTTTTTCCATATTGTTATCCAGTTTTTTTGGATTTCCTTCTTTCGTGTTTTAAAGAAACTCAGTCTCAGCCACTGAGTTGATAAAACTAGCTAGTATTTTATGTTTAAAATTCTGTTTTCTATCTTTTAAAATTCTTTTTAGATTGGTTGTATTAATTTTGTTTTTTTCAGTAAGCCCTCTGAGCTCCCCTCCCTTTTTTTGAGAAAAGAGTAGGGTACAATCTAATAAATAGAAATTGAATGTTTATCCATTAAGTTAGATCAAATGCTAGCTACTCAGTAATGCACTACATGAAACCCTGATCTCTAATAACAAGTTGGTTTTACATGCTTGTTTTTCTAAACAATAAATATTCTTCTTTAATAGTACTGACTTACTTTGGCTTTATTGTAACTATTATTTTTATATCTGTCCTTTCCAGTAGACAGAAATTCAGTGAAATAAGAAGGTTTAGGGCTGAGAGTGCCTTTTCTGCCTCCACCTTTGATGGCAAAACAGTTTGAGACAACTTTAAGTTAAATGAGGCTCATCAAAGTTAACATGTAGGGGAGGCAATAAGATGTGACTTTCCCTTGAACCACCTACAGAAGGGAGAAGAAATAAGCAGAGGAGAAGAGAAAGAAGTATTTTTCCCTCTAACTTCCTCTGCTGGACTCTAGCAAAAAAGAAATCTCTGCTTAGTAATGAAGGCCACAGAGTGAGAGAAAACACAAGTCCAGGGTTTCATGTTGCTTTTTCCATTTAATCAATCTTATTTTCTTGATGATATGTTTAATAATTACTTTAGCCATCAGTTATCTGCAACTCTAATAATACTGATTGCTTAGAACTTTTATCAGTTATGTACGTATAACTTAGTTTGGAACTTTTAGTTGTATGTGTCTATGTGTGACGCTTCAAACAATAAATATGATTAGTATTCACTTATATTAATCTTCTCTCTCTTGCTATTTTATAAGTGTCTTTAAGGAAAAGATGTTGTATGCTTCTTTTCTGCCTTTATATCTACTATAATTTTTCTCATAGTACTTAGTACTTTACCCAAGTTCTGCATATACTTTATTAATTTAGAAAGAATACCAAAGGTGTGGAAATGTGTGTGACATTAATTACTAATTCAGTCAGAAGATATTTATTGAGTACTTACTTTATGCTGGTCGCTATGCTAGCATTGGGAATAGAATAGCTTGGGAAAAAGGAATACAGTCAGCCCTCTGTATCCATAAATTCCTTATCCTTGGATTCAACTAACTATAATGGAAAATATTTTAAAAACAAAAACAATTTTAAAACAATATAATAATTTATAATAATACAAATAAAAAGACAGTATAGTATAACTACTTACATATCATTTACATTCTATTAGTAATCTAGGGATGATTTAAAGTATATGCGAGGATATTCATAGGTTGTATGCAAATAGTATGCTGTTTTATATCAGGGACTTGTGCATCTGTGGATTTTAGAATCTGAGGGAGTGTGGGAGTTCTCTAACTAATCCCCAATGGTTACCGAGGGATGGCTGTAATTACTTTTGAATCTTATGTGACTCAAAACTGCAGAGTTAATCTGAAAATATAAAAGAAAATTTAGACCTTTCTTGCTTTAAATTGATTTAAATAGTATATGCAAGAGGGCAATACAGTGCAATGATTGACAGTTTTTCATAGTTAGACCTTGGTTTTGAGTTTTGTGACTTCAGCAGGTATCTCAGTCTCTCAAGACCTGTTTCACCATGTGTAAATTGAAAAATCGATACCCTTTTTTTATAGGATTAAATAAGATAATGTGTATAAAATGCTTGCCATGGGGTTTGGCACATAGAAAGCCTTCGGATGGTAGCTCTTAAATTATTTTTTTAGTTGGCTATGTTAGGAGGAAATAGGACTTCATCTTATCAGAAATTACATTCTGATATGGGTCAGAAAAAATATGTTTTTAAAGTGTTATTAGTATAATAATTTTATATCAGAATAGTCTTTCTTTGGAATATAGAATGATATAACTTATCTACTTTTTCCCCCTCTACTTGTTTTTAATTGTTATTTTATTAGGCTATTCATTCAATTGATTGGCATCATGAGGGCAAACAGTTCATGTGCAGCCATTCAGATGGTAGTTTGACTTTATGGAACCTGAAAAGCCCAAGTCGCCCTTTCCAGACCACAATTCCACATGGTAAGATGTATGCTTTCAAAAGAAATAAACACTGACTACTCAGTGCCTTGACTTGAAGTAAGATAGATGGTATTCATGTGTTTGGTAGAAAAAGGTAATAGGACATAGCTTCTGGTTCTAAATACCCCTTTTATGCCACCTACAGATCCCTACATTGTACCCCAAACTTTCCATACTTCCCTTCTTCCTGCCAACCCACATCCCTGCTTTGTAAGCTGTACTTATATAGTGTCCCAGCCAAAAGTCGGATAATGGATGGTTGATATATCTGAGGCAGAGGAGATAATACAGGAAATTTTGTTGCTTTTAAGGGTTGAGGAGCCAGTGAGAGAATTGCACTATTTAGATCTGACTTTCAGACTTAATTCCTATACTGCTTTATAGTCTATTGCTTTCTAGATTCTCTACTTGTTTCCATTTCTGCCATTTGATTCCACTAAGTTATGAAGACTGTGGTTTTAATTTTAGGTTTTACTTTTCTTTTTGGGTTCCACATTGAAAAGAGCATTTTAATCCTAAGTGAGGATTTTAATCTTAATCAAGAATTTATATTGGAGCTGTATACCTACCGGGGAAGAATAAAAAATTCAAATATATAAATATGTATAATTCAGATGACTAAATTATTTGATAATATTGGTGATTATCTGAGTTCTATGTTTACCTCATACCGTTGATTATTTGTAATAATAGATATGTCAGAACCTAACAGTTGATCAAACATATTCTATTTTACAGTTTCTGAGCATTTGTTATCATGTCACATTTGGAAAATAGTGGTATGTTTTCTGTAATGGGTGACCCATAGATCACAAGCATTCTTAGAATTATTTCGTGATGTGTCTCTGCTATTTTTTTGTACCATGATCACTTGCTCCATCAGTAAATGATTACATTATTGCAACATTCTTCCAGGATGTAAATGTTTTAGCCTTTAGCTGGTTTACTTAGAGATTACTTTACATTTCAATGCTTACTTAGAGATGCTTTATTTAGAGATTGCCATTACAGAAACCTTGGATAGATATTAGCTATACATACCAATCAGGATTAACTATTTATTTATACGAGAGGCAATAGATTCTCTCCACACACCCCCAGTTAACCCCCAATTCTCATGCCTTTTATTTGTAAAAGTGTAATATGAGTTAGTTATAAATTTTCTACTTACTTCCTTATGTTCTTCTCAAATATCAGTTTCTATTAGTTCTTTTGGCTAGACTGGACATTTGATACTTTCATTTTTTTACCATATCCATATTTATTTCATGAGTTTTGATTGTTTTCTATTATTCTGGTTTTCTGTTGAAATAAAGTTCTATTTACAGGTTGTTCAACACATCAGCCTTGATGTCTTTTATGATATGTAAATCAGATTATGTTCCTGTTGCCTCACAATAACATAAGCACCAGTGATTTTGATAATAGAGGCATTTATTGTCATATCTGTTCACATTCTTTGGGTTTATTTTTTTTCCTTTTGTTTTAGCCATTTTTCTAAAATAAAACTTTTCTCTAAGTACCATTTTATATATATCTTACAAGTTTTTAAATGTAATATTAATCATATATAATTTTCATTAATATTTAGTTTGAGATATTTTCTATAATTCCTATTATAATTCTCCTTTGACCCCCATTAGTTATTTAGACATGTGCTTTCTAATTTCTAAACATTTTCATATTTATTATTTGTGTTATTATTATTAATAAAAGATGGGTCTTGCTATGTTGCCCAGGCTGATCCTAAGCTTTTGGAGGCCTCAAGTGATCCTCCCTCTGTGACCTCACAAAGTGCTAGAATTACAGGTGTAAGCAACCACACCCAGCCTTAATTTCTTAGCATGTTTTTTTATGATGGATTTTGAAATTGTAGCCAGAGAATATGACATAACTAGTTCTACAAAATTTACTGAGATTTGCTTTATAATCAGTGCAGAGCCAATTACCATAGCATTCTAAGTGTGCTTGGGAAGAATGTACATTTTCTAATTGTTACATAAAGGTCAAACTTGAAATTGTGTTTTTCATTTTGTATGGTTTAAATCTTTGCTAATTTTTTGTTTTGATATTTCAATTCTTAGAGAAGCGAGTTAACATTTCTCTTATAATGAATTTTCCTTAGTAATTCTGTTCATTTCTGTTTTACTTTAAAAAACAAATAGGTTAAGGTAGTTGATGGTGTTTTTCAGATTCCCTGTAATTGAACTGATACTTGTCTAGTGCTATCAATTGCTGAGAGAATGGTATTAAATTTCCTAATATGATTATAGAAGTGCATGCTTCTCAGTTTAATTCTGCCCATTTTTGCTTTATGTATTTTGAGGATCTATTATTAGGCATCCATTACATATCCTATAAAGAGCATAGCCCACCTTTTGTATACACAGGTTCTTCACCCATAGATTCAACAAAACCAAAGATCAAAAGTATTCTGAGAAGAAACAATTAAAAATAGAAAAATTTAAAATAAAAGAAATAAAAAGAAACAATACAGTGTTAAAACTACTTGTGTAGTGTCACACTGTATTGCGTATAAGTAATCTAGATATGATTTAAAGTATACAGGAGGGTGTATGTAGGTTATATGCAAATATTATGCCATGTTATATAACAGACTTAAGCATCTGTGGATTTGGGTATAGGAGGGGGAGTCCTGGAATCAGTAGATACTGGGAATAACCATAGTTGAGTCTTGTGCTTTTATCTAGTCACAGAGTTCAGTCTATTAATATTAAATGTAATTACTGATGAGATTGAATTTTAGCCTACCACTTCATTATCTGTTTGGTGGGTCCTGTCATATTTTTCCCTCTTTTCTCTTTTTGCCTTCTTGGGGGTTATTTCAATTTAATTTAATTGAAATTTTAATTTAAATATTATAATTTCATTTCTATTATAATTTCATTTTAATTTAAATATTAATCTAAGCATTTTATTTTCACATATTTTTTATTGGTTGCTCCAGGGATTACAATATACTTCCTTAACTATTCAAAGCCTATTAGAGCGAACATTGTGACACTTCACATAAAATGTGCAAGTCTTGTAACCATATAGATCTATTTCTCTTCCCCTACTGTCCTTTATGCTACAGTTATCATATAGTACATCCAAATATATTGTTATAATTTTTGGTTTAAATAGTCACATGTCTTTTTTTTAATTAAGAGGAAAAATAGTCTTTTGAATTTTCTTTGCTATTTGTAATTTGTATTTGTTCCTGAAGATACAAGAACATTATTTAATTTTTCTTTTTTTTAAATTTTTTTATTTTATTATTATTATTATTATATTTTAAGTTCTAGGGTACATGTGCATAACGTGCAGGTTTGTTACATATGTATACTTGTGCCATGTTGGTGTGCTGCACCCATCAACTCGTCAGCACCCATCAACTCGTTTTAGGCCTAGTGGAAATGAATTCACGTAGCTTCCTTTATCTGGAAGTTCATTTTTGTTTTGTTTTGCCTTTTTTTTTCTTTTTTGGAGGCCATTTTTTTGGATTTAGATTCCTGAACTGAGAGTTTGTGTGAGCATGTGTGTTTTGGTTTTAAGGTGATGAACACTTTATATGATCTTCTGCCTTCCATAATTTCTGAATGAGGAATCTGTAGTAGCTTGAATTTTGCTTCCTCTTTATATAATGTGTCACTTTTCTCCAATTGCTTTCAAAATTTTGCGGGGTATCTTTTATTTTCAGCAATTTGACTACTTTCTGTCTAAGCTTGGTTTCTTCAAGTTCATTCTGTTAAGAGTTCTACCAAGTTTCTCATATATATTATATGTGTGTGTATATATATATGATATATAATATGCTGGATCATCAGCTGTTTTACTCAAGATTAGCACTGTTGATGGCATTGCTCTTATAGCTGATTGCTGCTGTTACTGCAGACATCGATTTTTCCTGTTCAGTGATTTCAAATATGTATTTATGGTTTCAAATGTGTATTTTTCAGTTGCAGTGCTACCAGTTACACATGCATACATACACACATACATATACAACACATATCTACATATATGATATTAAACCAAATCCTATCAAATACTTAATAGCGAAAATTTTGCTCAGAAGCAGGACAGGGGTGTCCACAATTACCACTTTTATTTAATATTTTCCTGGAAATGCCAGCCAATATTATTAGACTTGAAAATGAAATATAATATTTAAAAATTTAGAAAGAGTATTCAAAATTTTAGTTACTTTTTCATAATGCAATTAGACAACACAAAACAAAAATGAATTAGGAAAACTATTACATGCAACAGTAGAATTCTGTACACAAAACAAACAAAATATAATGGATGAATAGAACCATTTTAGATCACAGCACCCACAAGAATACATGGGAATAAGCCTTAACATACATGTGAAGTATTATTTCTATACGGAACATACAACAGAAAACTTGAATAAATTAAAAACATACCATATGTATGCATAGTAAATTCAATATTATGAAGACGTTGATTTGCCACATATTACTTTGTAAATTCAGTTTGTCCCCAAGAAAAAAATTACAGGGTTTTCCCTGACAAAAACGAGCAACGGGGAATGGATTCCCTATTTAATAAATGGTGCTGGAAAAACTGGCTAGCGATATGTAGAAAACTGAACAGGACCCCTTCCTTATACCTTATATAAAAATCAACTCAAGGTGGATTAAAGACTTAAACGTAAGACCTAAAACCATAAAAACCCTAGAAGAAAACCTAGGCACTACCATTTAGGACATAGGCATGGGCAAGGACTTCATGACTAAAACAACAAAAGCAACGGCAACAAAAGCCAAAATTGACAAATGGGATCTAATTAAACTAAAGAGCTTCTGCACAGCAAAAGAAACTATCATCAGAGTGAATAGGCAACCTACAGAATGGGAGAAAATGTTTGCAATCTATCCATCTGACAAAAGGCTAATATCCAGAATCTACAAGGAACTGAAACAAATTTACAAGAAAAAATCAAAAAACCCCATCAAAAAGTGGGCAAA